TTTTTTTTTGGGGGAAAAAACAAATAAGGGGGGGGGGGGGGGGGCCTCTATTATTTTAAAAAAAAAAAACGCGGCGGGGGGGGGATTTTTTTTGTGTGGGGGGGGGGGAATAGGTTTTTTTCTTTCGGGGGGGGGGGGGGGGGGGCGGGGCGGAGCGGGGTGGATCGGGTGTTCGGGTCGGGTCGGAGTGGGGCGGGGTTGCTCGGGTCGGGGTGGGGCGGGGTTGTGGGGTGGGGATGTCGGTCGGGGTGGGATGGGGTGGGCGCGGAGTGGGAGTGGTGTGACTGCTCCTGTGGTGGGGGCGACGGCTTCTGAGGAAGCCGTCGAAAAAAGAAAGAATTCTACGAATACAAGAAAGAAAGAAGAAAGAAAGAAAATAGACAACCCAAGGGAGGGATGGGAGGACGGCACGCCGCCACACCACACAGGGATTTTAAGGAGAGGTGTGTGGTGCGCTAGCCGTCGCCCACCCTAGGGAGTCTGCCTCTTCCTATCTCTCTTCGCACTCTCTCGCCGCTTCTCGCTGCAACCTTCATGCCACCTCGCGGTCGTCCCACTCTCGTCGTCCTCTCCCTTGTCATTTCCTCCTCTGTCGCGTCGTTCTCTTCTGCCTCGTCCTGTGACGCCGCCGCCTGCCGGTCCCTTGTTCTCGCGGCTTCTTTCGCCTTTCGGCGCAACTCCGTCCTCCTCGGCGTATCCTGGCCCCTCGAGTCTATCGAGCTCTCCTCGCGCAAGGACCACAGCCGTCGCCCGCGCCTCGTCTTGTAAATTTCTTCTCGCTGTGCCATTTGTAGCGCCAGTCCGAGCTTGGCCTTTACACCATATTCTCGAATATCTTTGAGAATATAGAGGGTCCCGCGCACTTCCATATTCGAGAATATTCTCGAGAATGTAGATGCCCCGGCCGGCTTTTCCCTCAAGAATATACGAGCTTTCCGCAGCCCTTGACCTTGGTGGACCTCGAGTCCAAAGATATTCTTGAATATTCTTGACGTTGCCGCTGTGCGGCGTCTGAAACGGTCTTGACGAGAGAGCTCGAAACAGCTATTCCCCCTTCAGAGAATACTGACAAATAGCAAGGCGCTGTGAATATATTGGGATATACTGGGGTATATTGCACCCCTGGAATATACTCCAATATTGCGCACTATTGCGCAATATACGGAGATATTGGAGGAACATCTTCCAGCCGAATATACTGGGATATATTGGAGTATATCTCGGCGCCGCCAAGCACCTCAATCCTTCCGCAATATATTGCAATATACAGCAGTATATCCCAATATACTCACAGCTTGCTTGCCCCATTATTGGCTTATAGTTCGCAATACTGGGATATATTGCTGTATATTGCCGAATACTGCCGAATACTGCTGAATACTGCTGAATACTGCTGAATACTGGAGAAAGTCGGGGGACGTAGAGTGGTCCGTGGCGCGTCGCAGCCTGCGGGGCGTGGCTCAAACGACCCCGTGGGGGTAGTTGAAGGATCGTAAGGCGCCGGGTTGGATGGCTGCGGTCTTGCGCTGAATACTGCAATACTGCTGAATACTGGAGAAAGTCGGGGGATGTACAATGGTCCGTGGCGCGTCGCAGCCTGCGGGACGTGCTCACACGCCGCCGTGGGGATAGTCGAAGGATCGTAAACACACAGGCGCCGCGTCGGGTGGCTGCAGGTCGTGAATAAGAGCTATCTGATGTCCAGCGCGGCTCGCACACCAGTCACCACACACAGCATGTGCAAAACCATGACAGTGTCCTCGCGGGTGCGCAGCGTGGGGTGTCCACCTGGTGGGCGCTCCTATAGGGCTCTATTGCATGCCCCCAGCAGGCTGCACCGGCGCGCTCTCGCATTCGCACAGATGGCTGACCCACGGAAAAGTGCATCGCAGGATCCGCACGTTCAGCTATGCAAAACGGCGGCAGCGGGCTGGCTGGGGCACCTAGCGGGTAAGCAGAAGGCCCTGGTGTACGGTTGCCAAGAGATCTACGTCGATCATTCCCGACGACACGCCTCTTGCTCTGCCTGATGAGAGTAGGTCTGTAGCGGAGAATGCCGTCCGGTTACTGGGCTGCAGCCCGCCATGTCCATGCAGCCTGGCAGACGCGCGCAGTAATGTCATCCGGCACGGCATCCGTTAGTAGCACGCGCCTCTGCCGTATTTTGAAGGCGACGGCTTGCGTGAAGTCATGCTGCATGCCCGCGTCCACGAGCTCTCCGGCGAGGGCATCCTCAAACTCGGGCACAACGCACACCCTCCCACGGCCGCCCACGCGGCAGAGGACCGTGCACTTAGTAAATCTGGTCTCTCCAGGAAAGAAGACGTTTGTCTGCCCGCGGTGCCACTCTGTCACCACACCTCGACGGGCGAACGCTCGCGAGCTCGGCGACGCTCATACACAGATTTGACGGCGGGCAGAAAAGAAGGAAAAAAATTCCTGCGCCCAACACTGGGCAAGGGACTGCAAAAGCGCCCATCCCGCCCTCCTGCCTCGCCCTCCGCCCCTGCCCTGGCTGGCCTGGGTGGCATCTCCCCATTATCACCGGACATTTGATCGCGCGCTCCCTCCGCACATACCAGCGTTTCCACTCTTACGGCCCCTGGCCACACTGACTTGCTGCCGCGACAGACAGCCGGTCGCGGTGAAGGACAGCGAAAACGAATGGGGCGCACCGGGAGCATGCGAGCTCTTGCCTGCGGCGAGAGATTGTCTGCGGCGAGAGATTGCCTGCGGCGAGAGATTGCCTGCCGCGGCGGCGAGCTTGCCTGTGAGGAAGAGCTTGTCCCGTCTGCTTTCCTGTCCTTTTGCCTGAATGAAGAAAATAGAACTCCTACGCCTCTCACCGGACTTTCTTTTTCGTCTTTCCGTAAACTTCTCCGCTCCGTTGCGGGCGCGCCGCCCGCGCGCAGCCCCTCCTACCTGTCGGTCTCAGAAAGTTGCCGTGCCTAAGCGCTCGAAGTCGGAGCATATACCTCGCAGTGCCACCTACTCAATCGGCCGTGCCACCCGGTGGGTGGCACGATCTTCGCTGTGCACGCGGAGCCAGAAGGTTGAGACGTTGATGTCGAGAGGCAGGCGCTCAGGGTAGACAGGGGACATGCGCGCCCCACCGCGTGGGGCGCGCGTGTCGCACGAGCATGGTATGCTGACGGGGCGCCGGCACCCGACGTAGTGGCACGCCGCCCCTGCACGATTGCAGCAATTCCGAGGCCGTTGCTCCGCTTCGTGAACTACGCGGGAGGCCAACCAAGATGCGTTGGCTCGGCTATGCCGACGTTTGCCGTGCTCGCGTGGCACCCACTGGCACTGCTAAGAGCATCGATTCGACTTGACATCCGCCATCGCAACCGCCGCCGCGATCCCATTTTGCACTCAGGACGCAGACGCTCGCGGTCAGTCTGAGCATAGGGCCTTCCTCCATCGAGCCGTCGGACGATGAGCCATCGATCTGGCGCTCGGAGGCGACCTCTGGCCCCATCGTGCCCCTGCGCACCCGTTTGCGGCAGCACTGCTGCACCGGATCTCCAAAATCCAGCCGAGCGAATACTGCTGAATACTGCTGAATACTGCTGAATACTGCTGAATACTGCTGAATACTGCTGAATACTGGGATAGATTGGAGTATATTGGGATACATTGCTGGATCGCTGCGTATAGCCCAGGCGTACAATATATCGCAATATACTCCAATATACTCCAATATACTCTTGTTTCGCCCCGGGATTAGCTCCGGCATATACTGGAATATATTGGAATATACTGGAGACGTATCAACAGGGCGAATATATCGCAATATAAGCCAATATATCCCAATATTCTCCAATATATCCGGACCGTATATTGCGATATATTGGCTTATATTCCACATTTCAGCTGTGAACCTTATTGTCAGTATTCTCTCAACAGTAGGTTTCGGGTCGATGCCGACTGAAATCTTTAAGTTTTGGAGGTTCTGTCTTCTGAGCGGGTTTGGGAGCGACTTTTGGTCTCCGTCGATATACGCGAGGTCAAAATATTCTCAATATTCGAGAATATTCTCGAGAATATAGAGGGCCCAGAGAGAATATGATGCAAAGAATATAGATAGCCTTTGCAGAGAAAAGCGTGTAAAGGCCAAGTCCGAGCCAGTCTGCTGCGAGAGGGGCTTATATGGTAGAATTCTTCTCGAGCCTGCTCCTGGCGAGTAGAGGCCCCGCCCACCCAGGGTACCCTCTCCGAGGACCCATTGGGTAGCTCTTTCGAGGACTCGACGGGGCTCTGCTCCGAGAGACCTCGGGACAGCGCGTGCTTCTACCTGGTACTCGCCAGACCCAGACCGAAATCTGCTCCTCGCCGCACAGCCTCTAAGATATCTGCACCATGCTCCTCGCCATCCTCGGACCGCCTCCAGTGCGACTCGCGGCTCGGAGCACCACCCGGCAGCCCGAGGTGCTTACGATGGCCTCCAGCGACTCGGCGGCTCGCCGTGCCGAGCGGCGCGCCCGGCGGAAGGCAAAGCGGGCGGGCGGTCAGGTCCCAGTCGCAGCACCGCTTCCGGTCGCGCCGCCGGTGGTGGCGCCGGTGGAATCCTTCTCGCCCGAGGCCGCGCTCGTCGAGGACGCGACCGCCGTCCCCTTGCCCTCGTTTGACGACTTCCGGCGACGGGATGCCGAGGCGGCGGCGGCGGTGGCGAGATCAGATCTGCCGGCAGCCTCGACGCGGGATGGCTTCGGCTGGGGGGCGGATGGGCCATTGAACGGCGGTGGCGGTGGCGCGCCCGCCGTGCCGAGCGCCGCGGAGAAGGCGCAAACCGCGACTGTGTCGACCACGCTTTCGCCCGTTGCTTGGGAGAGCTCCCGCAACCGTCCATAGGTGATGGAGCTGCTGTCATTCGACTCGATCGACGAGCGGCCGGCCGGCGAGGAGCCGTACGACGCGACCGCGCGGCTCATCGGGCGGGGGCTGCCCAACAAGGCGAGCGTGTGCTCTTCCCCCTCCAGCGGAGACGGGTGTTCTCACGCCCCTGTCTGTGCATGGGATAGGCCGGGGCGTACGTGCTCCCCTACCTGCAGACGGGCCACATGCTGCTGCTCGGCGTGCTCCTCCTCTCGTCGTCCGTCTCCTACCCGGGGTTCCCACTGACTGAAGCGCCCAGACGCGTATCCAGGCTCCAATCACCGAGGGGGAGCTCCTCACCTCGCCTGCCGTGAATAGGTTCCGGACGAGTACCGGGACCTGCTCCACCAAGGCCCACCCCTCGCTCTCGCCGCCCCATAGCACTGCGAAGTCCAAGGGCCCCCCCCCCCCCCCCACCGCCTCCCCCAGGCCTCCTCATCACCTTTGCCATCAACGCCCTCGCCGCCGCCTCCGCGCGCGGCATCGCCGCCCGCAAGCAGCAGCCCGTGCTCTTCTGGATGGCAAAGGTGCTCCTCTTCGGGGGCCTCGCGCTCGGCGAGCTCGCTCAGGCGGTGCCGGAGGCGCCGCCCCCACCAAAGCGGGCGGGGCGGCTGTAGAGGGGCGCACGCCACGGCAGTGGCTCATGTCCTCTCTGGTGCGAGAATTCTCGCGGCGGCGGCATCGTACGAGTTGAAGAACAAAAGCGAAAGGGTGTGGTCCGTCGAGGCTTTAGATCGACTCGAATAGATAGGAGAAGGTGAAGAACAGCCAGGCTCGAATCTACCGCCTAGACCGCCTTGCCCGTGCCGCTTGCCCTTGCGAGAGCCGGCGGCGCCGGCGGCCGCCGCGGGCGCGTGAAAAGAAATACTTTGCTGTGCCATTTTTGGTGATAAATAAAGAAACCCGACATGCCAAACTCGAGGGGTGGCGGTGGCAGAAGGACAGGAGACGACAGCGTCCCACCCGCTCGTGGGTTGCGTGAGGACGATCATTGCTGCCACATCCAGTCGACAGCACATGGCGACGCCATGCGTCCCAACACCCCGCAACGCCAACTGCCAACCATCCACCTTCACTCCTCATGAGGCCGCTAAGTGCCTCGCCAACCATCGGCTCATATTCATCGGCGACAGCACCTTGCAGGAGATTGTCCTCGAGCTAGTTTCCTTCCTGCTGTCGGCTACGCCGGACGAGTTTCCCAACGCAGATCGCAGCCATGACCCATGTGCACGCCGTCTTTGACTTTGGCGCAGATTGGGCGGTGGAAGACTGCCTTGAGCTCAGCCTGGGCCGAGTGCAGCACCAAGAGCAGCGCCGCACCAAGAGCTCTATCTGTCCGAATGCCCTCGGTTGCAAGCGATGCCTCGACACACGGCAGCGCCCCGTTGGCATACAATCTCTCATTCGCGATGCTCTTTGGTGCCCACGCGCAGATCACAGGCAACACCAAGGGATCAGCACTGCGACCGACCAAGGGTGGCTTCGAGCCCTCAGTAGGTTGGCAGACGGACATGTCACATTTGCCAACCATGCCTTTCAAGTGCGACAAGCAGTTTAACAGCGGGGACAAGCTTGGCTTTCAAACTGGGGGACACGATGCCGTCCGCATTGCAAATGCACACCGCTGCCGTCCTGGCAGCAAGGCATCCAACCTATGCGGCCGCAACTCGAGCCGCTACCGCGGCGACGAGGCGTTGACCGCCGCGCTTGCAGAGCGAGTGATGAAGGAGATGCTTCACGCCGCCACCCGACCGTGAATCGTTGCCCAACATTTTTGTGGGCTGCACACTCCCTGGTGCGGCATACGGCACCACGGGTTGCAGGTGGCAGAATGGGCCTCTCGAGAAGGCAGCGGCTGCGATGGACTGGGGAGTGTTGCCCGAGGACCCACCAATAAATTCGACCGTCAGCACTGCTCGCACGAGACCAACCAATCGGTGGGCCAACCGATCGTCAGAAAGCTAGTGGTGAGGCGCAGTTCAGAGCTGTCGATGGCGCGATGCCGCACTGGTCCCACATTGGTGACACGAGACCACCAAGTTTGCCGGTCCAAGAGAGAGGCACCGGCGCTGTCCTGAGAAGGTGCGTGGTCCCTCTTGACTGCCCATGCGCGCGAGGCTGTGTAGGCATAGCCTCGAGAGTGCCAGCAGCCAATCCGAGGTGACGCCTGACGCGCATTGCGCCAGAAGCGTGCACGCAGCTGGAAGGACACCTTCCTACTGGCCGTACGATCAGGTCGTCACTGAATGCTTGATACTAAGGCCGCGAGCTATGCAGGTGATCAATTGTGCATCATGGCACGGTCAGCAGCGCCGACAGGCTGTCGCAAGGCGTGATAGCATGGCCGCAAGTACGCCGAATTCCCATGAAAACAAGTAAAAAATCGCGAAAAAGAAAAAACTCCAAAAAAATCGGCGCCTGCGGCGGGCCAGGGGACCCCATCTCCCCCCCGCATGGACACCCTCTGGGGCCCCCGCGCCGGCCCAGAGGGCTCGAGCAGCCACAGCAACGCGGCAACGAGCAAGCAAGCAAGGGAGGGCTGCGGATGGGAGGACGGCACGCCGCCACCACACAGGGATTTTAAGGAGAGGAGTGTGTCGAAGGAGTGTGGTGCTACGTGCTAGCTTGGGCGTCTGTCTCTTCCTACAGTTGTATCTCTCTTCGCAGTCTCTGGCCAATTCTCGCTGCTTCCTTCATGCCACACCAAAATAATTATTAAAATACAAGCCTCTCTCACAGCACACTGGCACGACAAGGGCGCGGATTGGCGCTTTTTGGCAATTTCCACGGCAGTCCAAGCAAAAGAATTCCGGCGCGCGCCGTTGGCAATTACCACGGGCACGGCACGCCACCACCCTCGCCCAGGGATCTACAATGCTGTCTTAAGGTCCGACCTGTGGGCTCTGCCTGCGCTCGGCACCGGGCACCGCCTCGGTATACAAAATGCGCCTGCGGGCGGACCCTTACAGATCACAGATCACGGCAGTCCAAGCAAAAGAATTCCGTGGGGCGCCGTTGGCCTCGAGCAGCCAGCAACGCGGCAACAACCAACGCCGGCGTTGCACGGCAAGCAAAATGGCGCGCTCATTGACAGGAGGCTCCTTCGGCGTGCAGGGCATGCTCAAGGAGGGCACCAAGCACCTGAGCGGGCTGGAGGAGGCCACCTTTAAGAACATCGAGGCTGCGAAGCAGCTCTCCTCATGCGTCCGGACCTCTCTCGGCCCCAATGGAATGAACAAGATGGTCATCAACCACCTGGAGAAGCTCTTTGTGACGAACGATGCGGCGACCATCGTCGGCGAGCTCGAGGTCCAGCACCCTGCCGCCAAGCTCCTCGTAATGGCGAGCAACATGCAGGCGCCACGGCGGCTTACCGAGCCCTCGCCTGCAAGCCTGCAACCACCCTCCCCAGCGCCACCGCGCTCGCTGCCATGCCACCGCCTCCCAGCTTCGCCCGCCGCGGCCGCCGCCCCCTGGCGACGTGGCGGCCCTCGCCCTCGTCCTCGCTGTTGCCACTCTCTCGCTGCCCCGCCCCTCATCCGCCGCCCCTCACCGCCTGCCCTCAGCCGCTCCGTCACCGCCGGCGCTCCTACCCAACCGCCTAACCGCGGCCCTCACCGCCGCTTCCATCAACCCCTCGCAGGAGGTCGAGGTTGGCGACGGCACCAACCTGGTCGTCGTTCTGGCGGGCGAGCTGCTCAGCCAGGTTGACTTGCCCTTTGTCACGGCCGTCCTCACCCTATACCCCCGGTCGACCCCCCATCCCCCCTCTCCACCATCTGACACCGCTGCTCCACCTCGCCCCGCCCCCACTCGCCCTTGCTCCCTCGCCGCGCCTCCAGGCGGAGGAGCTGCTCAAGTCCGGGCTGCACGTCTCCGAGATCATCGGCGGCTACAAGGCGGCAGAGGCCAAGGGGAAGCCGAGCCGCACCCCCGCACGCCACCACCGCACCCCTCTTCCCCTTTGGGTGCCGGCGTGCGCGCCCCCGCCCTGGTGCCCCCAGACCCCCCCCCCCCCCCCCCAAAAAAAAAACCACGAAACCGCTCTCCTCGTCAAGAGCCTCACACGGTTGCCCTGCCCTGGCCTCCTCAGGAGGTGCAAGGCGCGCGCGTGGCGGTCTACGGCATCCCACTCGACTCGGCGACGACCGAGACGAAGGGGACCGTGCTGCTCAAGTCGGCGCGCGGCCATAGTCAGTCAGTCAGTGTGACACACCTCGTAGCATGGAGGACGGGCCCACACGCACACACACACTGCACACGATTGGCTCGGGAGCCGACACGAGGCACACTGTCACCGGCCGTAGCACTGGGTCCGGACTGCTGGACACACAGATCACAGCTCACAGGACAGCTCAGCGCCATAGAAGGGGAGAATACGGGGGGTCTTGTATCGAGAGGACGCGTACTCCGCCGTAGTAGTCGGCCGCTTTCGCATCCCCTCCCCGCGGTGCTCTGAAGACTCTGCACAAGACCGCAGTCCCGCCCTGAGGGCTCTGATTCCATACGAGGTCCGCACGGTTGTGGTCCTGTGCATGGATGACAGAAGCTGGTATGCGGGCGCCCTCCCCGAACAAGACGACGGCGTGTTCTCACTGCAGGCGGCCGACCTCAAGAACTACAACGACTCGGAGGAGGCCGCGCTGGAGAAGACGATCAAGGCGATCCGCGACACGGGCGTCAACCTCATCGTGTGCGGCCAGGCCGTCGGCGAGCTCGCGCTCCACTTTTGCGAAAAGTTCGGCATCCTCGTCCTCAAGTGCCCCTCCAAGTTTGAGCTGCGCCGCATCTGCCGCACCACGGGCGCCGCCAACCTGGTGCGCCTCGAGCCGCCCGCGCCGGACGACATCGGCAGCTGCGCGCGCGTCTACCTCAAGGAGATCGGCTCGACCAACTGCACCATCCTCGAGCAGGAGGACGCCACTTCGAAGGTGGCCACCATCGTGGTGCGCGGGTCGTCGCCCAACATCATGGACGACGTCGAGCGCGCCATCGACGACGGCGTCCACACCGTCAAGGCGATGACGCGCGACGCGCGCTTTGTCGCCGGCGCGGGCGGGTGCGAGCTCCAGCTCGCCGATTTGCTGCAGCAGCACGCCGAGGCGCAGCCCGGCCTCGACCAGTACGCGATCAACAAGTACGGCCTCGCGCTGGAAGTGGTGCCGCGCACGCTCGCAGAGAATGCCGGCCTCGACGCGGCCAACATCGTCGCGGCGCTGTACGCCGCGCACAAGGCGGGCGAGCGCTCCGCCGGCGTGAACGTGGTCGACGGGCAGGTGGACGCGACGACCGGTGTGCTCGACTTGCTGTGGACGAAGAAGGAGGCGTTGCGGCAGGCGACCGATGCGGCGGTGACGGTGCTGCGGGTGGACCAGATCATCATGTCCAAACCAGCGGGCGGGCCGAAGAAGGGCGACCAGCCGGCGATGTAGCGCGTCATGGGCGGGGGCGGGGCCGCCGCACAGGCCATGGCGCCAGCGCGCAGCAGCGAGGCCACCCTGTGAGCCCACCCACTGGGCGCGAATCAGGGCTCGGGGGGCGGCCCAGCGCCGGGGGCTGGGAGCAGCACGCTGCGCGGGGGTCTCTCCCGCCGCATTTTGGCGACACGCTCGCGAGAAACGTCTGACGTACATTGTTGTGTAAAGCCTCTCACTGTCTCTCTCTCCGGCGTTATGAATATCCCCGTTGTTGTGGGCGCTCTCTAACCGCGATCTCCATATACACACACACCGATATACCTCGATCCCGGAGCGCGCGGGCGGTTAACATCCCAACGACTGCCTCAACGGCGCCACCCGCTCGACGTCCACGCGCGGCGCGCACTCGCCCGCAACAAAGGCGGCGAGCGAGAGCGTGCACAGCGGGAACGCACCCGACGCGTCGCGCTGCCTCCAGCCGGCGGGGATGGCGCGCGCTGCCGCCTCGCACGCCGCGATCACGGGCAGCTCCTGCCCCGCGGCGAGGCTCGCCCTCAAGTAGGGCAACACCCGCCCCGCGATGAGCCCGCCGAGCAGCTCCTGCAGCGGCCCGCTCGCGAGCAGCCCGCTCCACTCGCCCATCACGGCAGCGAGCTTGAGCGCGCGCCACAGCTGCCGCCGTGCCGCCGCCGCCGCCGCCGCCGCCTCGGCGCCCTCGCCACCGACGCAAGGTGGCACGCAGCAGGCGTCGGCCGCCTCGTCGAGCTTCCTCGCCACCTGCATCACGAGCTCCTTGACGGCGCCCGCCGCCGCCTCGGCCGCCTCGGCCGCCTCGGGCTCCTGCTGCGTCGCGCCGGCGCTGGACAGTTTCCACCCCAGCGCCGACGCCGCCGCGAGCGCCTTCGCCTCGCCCGCCGCGCTGCCGACGGCCGCCACGAGCTGGCGGGTTTGGCGGAGGGAGAAGACGTCCCACGAGTGAGTGACCGCGTGCTTGAGCAGCGGCAGCGCGAGGTCGCAGGCCAGCCGCGCGGGGAGCGCGCCCCTCCGCGCCAGCATCGCGCGGTCCGATGCGGCGCGCTCCTCGCCTCTGCCGCCGGCCGCAATCTCGCCTCCCGCCGCCCCGTCGGCGGCCGCCAGCTCGCCCGCGAGCGAGGCAGCGGCGGAGGTGAGCTGACGGTGCCATGGCTGCTGTGCGAGGTCCCCGGCGGCGAGGGGCCTCCAGCAAAGCAGCGCGAGCCTACGGAGTGAAGACGCCACACCTCGGGGCCGTGGTTGTGCGTTTGCAAGACGCCACCCTCAGGGCGGGAATACGGCACCGTGAGTGTCTTCAGAGCAGTCGGCAGGACAGTGGAGGGGACGATCGGGCAGGGGGTGCTACTAGACAAGAGCCCCGCGGGCATCGAAGAGTTCACGGCGCGCGGGCTGCTGTGCGGTGTGCCTTTCCCCGCTGGCGAGGTGTGTCGCCAGACAGCCCCGGTAGGACACCGGTGCGGTGACAACGAACACGAGGAACGCCGGCGGAATTCGGCCGAGTAGAGCCGGCTACGTGTCCTCTCGAGCGCTAGTTGGAGCACAAGAATGCATATTGCGCTTCTAAAAGCGCGAGGCCGTACGAGCGGCGCCAGCAGCGTGGGCAGGCAGAGGTCGACGAAGGCTTGCTCGTAAGAGGGACGCTCGTCCCTCGCCCACGCGTCGAGCCGGCGGAGAATCGTGGACGGGTCGCTCACCTGGAGTTTGGGATGCTGCGGTGGACGCGAGCGGGGGGGCCGAGCGATGTGGCGTGGTGGGTGGGCAGTGGGTACGGCAAGGAGCGGGAGGGTATGACGGATAGCATCGCTCCGTTCGCCCCGCGGCAGGGGGGGGGGCGTGGTGTTGAAGGATCGCTTCTCTGGGCCCGGTTCAACAGGAGCCCCCATTTGTGTGTGTGTGTGTGTGTGTGTGTGTGTGTGTGTGTGTGGTGGTGGTGGTGGTGTGTGTGTGTGTGTGTGTGTGTGTCTGTCTGTCTGTCTGTCTGTCTGTCTGTCTGTCTGTCTGTCTCTCTCTCTCTCTCTGTGTGTGTGTGTGTGTGTGTGTGTGTGTGTGTGTGT